TTTCATCCACAACACTGGCATCATTTTGTAAAGATGGTATAATAAAGGTAATAATAGGTGGTGCTGGCAGACTGTGGAGGAACAGAGCTCTTTCTGATGTTGCTGATGGGAATGGGAGTGGCGGTAGCTTTTCTGGGAGAGCCACGTTGGCAGCTGTGAGCGCCTTCACAGGGGCTGCCCCTTCGTTCTGCAATTTCACAGGTAGGAATTGCTCATTTATTCTAGTGGTTTTTTTTGTTGTTGTTTTTGTTTTGAGACAATGTCTTGCTGTGTTGCCCAGGCTGGTCTCAAACTCCTGGATCAAGTGATCCTCCAGCCTCAGCCTCCTGAGCAGCTGGGACTACGGGTGCATGCCACAGTGCCTGGCTTTATCCTGAGAATTTACCCTAAGGAAAAAATCAGACAACTGTGCTAAACTCTACCTACAGAGGGCTGTTTATCACAGCACTGGTCCTGGTGGATGAAATGTGGACAGAATCTCAATGTGCAGCAGTCGGAGACTGGCCAAGTCATCCTGCTACAGCTATTCAAGAGACAGATATATGGCCACTCAAAATGGCGATCCTCCTGATTGAATCAAATCCCCTATCACCCCTCTCACAGCACTGAGGATTTCTCCCCTTTGTAGCATTTATTATCATCGTAATTTTACATTTCTTTGTGAATTTCTTTGTTGAATTTCTATGTCCTTCATTGGACACTAAGCTCTGTAAAAGCAAGGACTCTATTACATTCACTATTGTACCCTCAGCGCTTAGTTAAGTTCCTGGAACACAGTATGCTCTCAATAAATTATTGTTACATGAATGACTGAGTCTCTTTTTTGTGATGTGGACAGATTTTGCAGTGTATAATTAAGAGAAAAAGAGCAGATTATAAAGAAGCATGTGTGTTGTAGCAGACATTGTTAATTCCCTCCTTCTTTGATTTTGTTCATGAGTGAGGACCACGTCCCCTCTTTCAGTCAATTAACTATGACTGGCTCAAAGCCAATCATGACAATCCTTTTCTCTGCTGCTGGAGGTAGTTCTGGCCAGTGAGACCTAAATCTGTTGGGGGTCACTTTCTGAAGTTTTTGCTTTCATAATAAAAATGCAGAAGTGACTGTCTTTGGTGGCATTGAAAACAGATGTGGCTGGAGCTGCAGCAGCTATTTTGCAACCATGAGAGAAATTCCAAGAAACTCACAGAGATGCTGGATCTAACGTTGTTGAACAAGTGAATCACAGCCAGCAACCATAGATACGGTAGCTAGGAAGAAAAATGAGTCTCTGCTTTATTTTTATTTTTATTTTTTTAAATTTTTAAATAAGATGGGGTTTCACCATGTTGGTCAGGCTTGTCTTGAACTCCTGACCTCAGGTGATCCGCCTGCCTTGGCCTCCAAAGTGCTTGGATTACAGGCTTGAGCCACCATGCTGGGCCAAGTCTCTGTTTCTTAAATAATTATACTTGCAGATTAATGACCCCCGCAACAGACACAGAGTATGACTTTATATGTGTGTATAGATATATGATCATATCTGCATATATATAATCATACTGCATATGTATATGATCATATATATATGATATATATCTGTATATGCAAGTTGTTAAAACGCTCCCTTTGAATGAAGAGACTCCCCAAACAGGCTTTGTGTTTATGGCTGTTTATTTACCTGGGTGCAGGTGGGCTGGGGCCGAAAAGGGCGTTAGCAAAGGGCGGTGGGATAGGAGTTGGTTTTATAGGTTGGAGCAAATTTTTTGGAGAGGGGGCAGGGGTGTTAAGGAGTAAGATCAGTTACAGTGGTGGGGTGGGGCAAGGAGTAGGCATTACCAGAAGTTCAGTTACAATGGCGGGTGGGGTAAGGTAGTTAGATGGTAGGGTGGGGCAGGGAGTATTTGTATTATCATAATAACAGTTAAGATGGCAGGGTGGGGTGAGCCATCTTAACCCCGCGAAGCTGAGTTATCAGGGATAATGGCGAATGCAGGGGTGGGGGGTGGGGGCGGGGATGGGGGGTAGGGGGTGATTAGCCGAGGCAGGCAGGACTTCAGACTTTCTGGGTTCAGACTTGCAGATGGAGGCCTTCCGCAAATATGAATAGAAAAAAATTAAAGTGATTATATTGGGGTGGTAGGATTCCCCTTGATATTTTTTATTTTATGAAGTTTTTCTAATCAACATGTAAATAATAACCAGAAAAAGACCTTTTTACATTCAGAAAATAAGCAATCATGATAATTTTTTTTTTTTCTGAGACAGTCTCATTCTGTTGCCCAGGCTGAAGTGCAGTAGTGTGATCTCAGCTCACTGCAGCCTCCATCTCCTGGGTTCAAGCAATTCTTCTGCCTCAGCCTCCTCCCAAATAGTTGGGATTACAGGCGCCCCCCACCACGCCCGGCTAATTTTATTTATTTATTTATTTATTTAGTAGAGATGGTTTTCACTATGTTGGCCAGGCTGATCTCGAACTCCTGGCCTCAAGTTATCCGTCCACCCTGGCCTCCCAAAGTGCTGGGATTACAGGGGTGAGCCATGCCCAGCCTAATTCTTCTACTTTAAAAAATAAATAAAAGGTAGGCCCCCAGGAAGGACATCACTCCCATGAGATAAGTGAATTTGAAGGAAGCCAGATGACCACCTGTGGCCATCCTGGAGCACGGATTCAAGCACCAGTGGAAGGCTGGACTTGACCTGCAAAGGTCCCCTCCAAAACAGGTGTGATTCCAACCTTCTGAGGGAGGCAGGCAGGCATCATGGCCTCAGGGAGATGGATGAAAATCTGAGGCTCTGTTTTGTGAGGAGAGGTGATGTCTCTCAGTACCCACAAGGACATATCTGTCCTCACCTGGGATTCGGCCTCCAGGCCTTTGCTGGCCAGCCTGCCAGGAGGATTCTCAACAGCATCAGGGCTATGACAAGGAGAAGGAGGGAGCCCGGCCCTGCAGCTGGGGCAGCTGTGGGGTCTGCAGGTGGTGCCGAAGCCTGTATTGTCTGTAAACACAGATTTTCAGAAAGCCAAGTGTTGCCATTTCTTCCCACAACAAACCAGGGTTATCTGCATGAAAATGACCTTGAGGAAAAAAAAAAAAAAAAAAAAAAAAAAAAAAAAAAAAAAAAAAAAAAAAAAAAAAAAAAAAAAAAAAAAAAAAAAAAAAAATGTCAGCAAAGAAGGAAAAGGAAAATACACTAGGGAAACTGTTTTGTTTTGTTTTTTTGAGACAGTCTTGCTCTGTTGCCCAGACTGCAGTGCAGTGGTACAATCTTAGTTCACTGCAAACTCCACCTCCAGGGCTCAAGCAATTCTCCTGCCTCAGCCTCCCTAGTAGCTGGGACTATGGGTGTGCGCCACCAGACACCAGGCTAATTTTTTTTTGTATTCTTAGTAGAGATGGGGTTTTACCATGTTGGCCAAGCTGGTCTTGAACGCCTAACCTCAAGTGATCACTTGCCTCGGCCTCCCAAAGTGCTGCGGTTACAGGCGTGAGCCATTGCACCTGGCCATAGAGAAACTTGATTCTCTCCTCAGCAAACACTCTCAAGGTAGGCACTGCAGACTCTGGGGACACAGATGGCAAGGACAGCAGCCACCAGCATTCCCCACCAGCAGCCCCTTCTACACGCCAGCAGGGTCATTCTCAGCCCGGTCCACTTGGCAGCTGATTTGATCCTTACCTAGTGCGTAGGTGCTACCAGGGGTGAATCAGACACAGCACTGCTCTGCAGGAGAAGCACGGGTCAAAGACGAACACATGCGACAAGCATCACTTCAGGGTGGTGATTTTCTTCTGCGGTGGAGGGAGACTGGGCCATCAGGATGTCTTCATATGTCCACTCAGTGAGGACTCTGGACTTAACTGTGATGCCCGTTCCCCTTTTCCTTTTCCCTTAGAATGGGATAGGCCAGCCTGGAGCAGCTGGATGTGCCGTAATGATGCCCGCAATTATATTTTCATGTATTTCTTTTGTGGGATCTCAGATCTTTCCAGTGGATGGATTTCCTTTCTTTTCCTGTCTGATCTTTAGCGCTCTCTCTCTCTCTCTCTCTCTCTCTCTCTCTGTTAGGAAGTGTAACCTCTTTCAGACATGTTCCTGCCTATTCTTTGGGCAGCTCTGAGCATTGCCTTCTGCATCCTGAAGTTCAAGTCACCTGCCTGAGCCTGGGGTTTCTCATCTCAATAACAGGGTGCCAGGCAACGCCTCCCTACCTCTTCCTGGGAGCAACTTCGCTCTTCCCTGCCTTCGGTGGCAGATCTAGACCCTGCCCCTGATTCCCCGTGGGGCCTTCCCCAGTCTCAGTTTTCTCCCCGCTATGGTGGGACAGAAGTCCTGCCTCCCTTCCTCACAGGACTGATCCTAGCCCTGGGGACCTCGCGGGAACCTTGGTGCTTGTTGCTGTGTTGGGTTTCGGAGCTCGACCCCCCTCCCTGGCTCAGGTGGCTGACTTCTCTGCACCATTAACACCCTGACCACGAGGTGATGGAAATAGTTTGGCCTGGGGGTGAGGGCTGGGGCCCCTGAAGCAGCTGAAGGTACATTCCTCCCGGTGTCCCCCCTCACTTGCCCTGGGGCTCGGGCTGCTGGGGATTCTTTCCTTTCACCCTTGACCCCAGAGCACTGATGCGAATTGGGTGCATGCCCTGGGGGTCCTTTGGATCCAAATGGCTAGTCTGGGTGACACAGTTGGGTGTTTGTGTGGAGGAGCAGGGCGGCCATCTGACCACTCAGACCCTGTCCTTCCTCCCCCTCCATGCCTGCCTCACGTGATGACTTTCGAAAGCAGTTTCAGATCTGCCATCTCGTTTGGCTTCGCATTTCCCCAGTGAGGGTGGAGTAATTGCCAGCATCTTGCTGAGGAGTGAACTGAGGCTCGGAAGGGGAAGCTGTTGCTGAGGGTCATGCCATGGATTTATAGTAGAGCTGGGATTAGAACTCACACTCTGGAGGCAGGCCAGGCGCGCACGCTGGCTGTCGGGCCGTGTTGCCGCCCGGCCGCCGCCGGGACTGGAAGTGAGCCGCCTGGGCCCCGAGCGCCAGCCAGCCCGTGAGTGGGTCCCGCAGCCGAACGCACCCTGGGCGAAGCCTGGCGGCCGCCAAGTTACCTTTAACCAAGAGAGCAGATCCAGCTGAGCTTAGAACAATATTTTTGAAGTATGCAAGCATTGAGAAAAACGGTGAATTTTTTATGTCCCCCAATGACTTTGTCACTCGATACTTGAACATTTTTGGAGAAAGCCAGCCTAATCCAAAGACTGTGAAACTTTTAAGTGGAGTGGTGGATCAAACCAAAGATGGATTAATATCTTTTCAAGAATTTGTTGCCTTTGAATCTGTCCTGTGTGCCCCTGATGCTTTGTTTATGGTAGCCTTTCAGCTGTTTGACAAAGCTGGCAAAGGAGAAGTAACTTTTGAGGATGTTAAGCAAGTTTTTGGACAGACCAGAATTCATCAACATATTCCATTTAACTGGGACTCAGAATTTGTGCAACTACATTTTGGAAAAGAAAGAAAAAGACACCTGACATATGCAGAATTTACTCAGTTTTTATTGGCTGCTGGAGGTATCACATCCCGTCAAGTTAGCTTCTCCTATTTTAATGGATTTAATTCGCTCCTTAACAACATGGAACTCATTAGAAAGATCTACAGCACTCTGGCTGGCAACAGGAAAGATGTTGAGGTGACTAAGGAGGAGTTTGTTCTGGCAGCTCAGAAATTTGATCAGGTTACACCCACGGAAGTTGACGTCTTGTTTCAGTTAGCAGATTTATATGAGCCAAGGGGACGTATGACCTTAGCAGACATTGAACGGATTGCTCCTCTGGAAGAGGGAACTCTGCCCTTTAACTTGGCTAAGGCCCAGAGGCAGAAGCCCTCGGGTGATTCAGCTAGACCAGTTCTTTTACAAGTTGCAGAGTCGGCCTACAGGTTTGGTCTGGGTTCTGTTGCTGGAGCTGTTGGAGCCACTGCTGTGTATCCTATCGACCTTGTAAAAACGCGAATGCAGAACCAACGATCAACTGGCTCTTTTGTGGGAGAACTCATGTATAAAAACAGCTTTGACTGTTTTAAGAAAGTGCTACGCTATGAAGGCTTCTTTGGACTGTACAGAGGTCTGTTGCCGCAGTTATTGGGAGCTGCCCCAGAGAAGGCCATAAAACTTACAGTGAATGATTTTGTGAGGGATAAATTTATGCACAAAGGTGGTTCGGTCCCACTTGCAGCAGAAATTCTTGCTGGAGGCTGCGCTGGAGGCTCCGCTGGAGGCTCCCAGGTGATTTTCACAAATCCTTTAGAAATCATCAAGATCCGTTTGCAAGTGGCCGGAGAAATCACCACTGGTCCGAGAGTCAGTGCCCTGTCTGTCGTGCGGGACCTGGGGTTCTTTGGGATCTACAAGGGTGCCAAAGCATGCTTCCTGCGGGACATTCCTTTCTCGGCCATCTACTTTCCGTGCTATGCTCATGTGAAGGCTTCCTTTGCAAATGAAGATGGGCAGGTTAGCCCAGGAAGCCTGCTCTTAGCTGGTGCCATAGCTGGTATGCCTGCAGCATCTTTAGTGACCCCTGCTGATGTTATCAAGACGAGATTACAGGTGGCTGCCCGGGCTGGCCAAACCACTTACAGCGGAGTGATATAGACTGCTTTAGAAAGATACTGCGGGAAGAAGGCCCAAAAGCTCTGTGGAAAGGAGCTGGTGCTCGTGTATTTCAATCCTCACCCCAGTTTGGCGTAACTTTGCTGACTTACGAATTGCTACAACGATGGTTCTACATTGATTATGGAGGAGTAAAACCCATGGGATCAGAGCCAGTTCCTAAATCCAGGATCAACCTACCTGCCCCGAATCCTGATCACGTTGGGGGCTACAAACTGGCAGTTGCTACATTTGCAGGGATCAAAAACAAATTTGAGGCCGGGCGCGGTGGCTCAAGCCTGTAATCCCAGTACTTTGGGAGGCCGAGGCGGGTGGATCACAAGGTCAAGAGATCGAGACCATCCTGGTCAACATGGTGAAACCCCGTCTCTACTAAAACTACAAAAAAAATTAGCTGGGCATG